AGTATACGCATGCACTGCAGACTAGATATTGCCTACCCATCAGGCGCTATTGGAGCTTACAAAGGCTACAAGTGGAAGTTCCGTACCGGCGAAATCAAGCTGACGGCGGGCGGGCGCGGAGCGGCGATCACCCCCCCCCCCCCCCCTCCATCACTCCGCGATTCTCTCGGCGCTCGGCACGGCGCGGCACGGCACGGCGCACGACGCAAGCCCAAGCATGCAGGGGGGAGACGATAGTTAGTGTCGGCGTGGATACGATGGTGCCATTCCTCTTAACTATCGGTGTTGCCTTACCTTGTCGCCCGACAGGGTCGCGGTAGGTGGGCGTGTCTGCCCGCCACTCAAGCATCCGCAGGTACATCGCCTTTTTCCGCTGCATGCTTAGTATGAGGCGCTCCAGGCGCGCAACCTCCTCCTTCAAAAGAGAAATTTTCCATTTTAACAGCAGTACCTTAAATCATTCGCTACCACAATGTACCGAGTCCACTTAACCGGTAGGTACTTGCCTCCAAATGTTGAGAGCAAGCTTTATCAAGCTGCTCTCCGTTTGAAGCCATTGCGTTGATTTAGTTAAATTGCCATAGTTACGAGCGAGTTTGTACTGTTGGCGTTTCGCGTTGTATGCTACGTGGAATCGATGTGGAATCTCGGGAATCTCTGTATCGTATCGATGCGTTTTTTCCCCGCAAGTATGCGTACTCCTTTGTATCCCCGTCCCGCGCCGTCGCCGTGCCCTTCCGGTGGCCGGCTTGAAGACAGCCCGAGACAGCCCTTTCCCTAAATGTCTCCCTTCCGAGCGGTTCACGAGTGCGCGATAAGTGGTCTCCCACGACACCAGGCAACAGTATGCGGGTTTGCCTGTTTGCCTACTCGCCCCACCCGTAAGACACCATGGCCCCTAAGGTATGCAATCCCGCAACACTGTCGTGTCGTGGCCCTGACACACGGCGCAAAAATGAGGAGAGCGGAGCACGACCGGGGCTCCATGAACGTATACGACTGCTGTTTTGGACTGCACACACTGAATCCCTATGATTGCACAAATATTCGTGAAATTTTCGACATGAAATCCTATTTCTGAATCTGAACAGCATTTTTGTAGCTCAGACAGGGTACCGCTCCACTGTCCATGATCCCCTCTCAGGCTGACCCCAAAATTTGCAAAATTGTTACGTTTCCACACGAGAAACGGCAGTTTTAGAAGTGCCACTGACATTCACAGTTGCTCGTATTCCTTATGTCACTTTATTCTAATGCGTCTCATGGACGTAATAAACGGTGCATCTCAATGTTTGTTACAGAATAATGATCCCCACACTTCCCCCTCTGCGAAAATGTGCGTGTCACTCACTTTAAACACGTTTTTCGCGCGCTCGGAAATCGGTCGGTCGGTCGGTCGGTCGGCCGTTCGGTCGGCCGGTTGGTCGGTCGGTCGGTCGGCCGATGCTTATTTTGATAACTCCCCAGCCAGGCCACCGCAGCAGGTATTCGCACTTGGCAGGGCTGAGTTCCAGTACAAGCAGAGCACAGCAGAGCAAAAAGTGCATTGAGAAAAGAATGAGCCATGCTTGGAAGCAGCGAATAAAGAACATTATCATGGGCGCCACTAGATTTCGGTCGCTAGCTGACTGGAGCGCGCTGTATGTGCTGCGAGTTCAGCGGATCAGTGGTGACGCCTGCGACGTCCGGGGTAGGCCATCCCGCCAGGCATGTGTGTGGGGCGGGCGGCCTGCTCTGATTCGCTGGGGCTCGGCAGCGCATTTCGTTAGCGAGGCCAGTCGTTGTGGTGCTTGTGGAAACTGCTGGGCTTTTGCCTGTTGCTAGTAAATGTTGCGTTGCCGCGTCGCGAGGCCCGATTTCCCCCGGCTGGCGAATTGGCGCAAACAGTCAGCACTCAAGTGCTCGCGCTCCTGAACTAGAAGAACGCCGCGAACAAGGACGAGGACGCACCGCAACGCCGCCGCCGGGCGGGGGGCGCGGGCAGACGGGAGTCGCGTCGCGTGTGTACGAATCCGCGAAGAGGAAGTGTCCGCCTCGAGGACGACATCTAGTTGCAATGCTTGGCCGAAGGCGGGCATGATGGTTCTGAAGGCTGTCGAACGCCGCGCCCAGCCCCTGACAAGAAACCACCACACCAGCAAGAGGGCCATCTCGGGCCATCTCGCCTGTAACAAACAAACTCGACCGTCTGCACCGAACGTCTGCACTCCTCAACTCTCCTCGACACGTCTCTCCTCCTCAACTCTCCCAAAAAATCTCTCCTCCTCGTCTCACTCCGCTCCGTCTGTCTTCCTCATTGTCCCCGCATGTCCACGTCTGTCCCGACTTGACCCGCCCGGGCCGGAGCGCTCTCCTGACCCGCTCCGTCACGGGTGCCAATCTTCCCCTAGTCACCCGTCCGTTGTCGAACCGACCTGCCCCCGCTGTGCCCCGCCCGGCGCCGGGGGAAGTCCCGCGACGGCAGGCCGGTGCGTTGGCGACCCTGCAGGTTGGACAAAATATTAAGTCATTACCGATAATGATAGTAAGTATCTGAATACTTCCTATTATTCTCAACACTTCCAGCTGATAACAGCTTCAGTCACAAAGCTAATAAAAACAAATCACTGATTCATTCATTGCATACAAAAAATGGATGAAAACAACTAAAACACGAACATAGTTTAACGCCAGGGCAGTCACTTACACAGTCTCTTACAAATAACTTCATCTATTTCTTTGCAGTTGGGCATGGCAACAGCATATTCAAAGCCGAAGCTTATCATCTTGATGGCAGGAGAACGTATGCGATCAAGTGGCAGGAAATGCCAGGAAATTTAAAAAAAACAGGAAACTTTTTTGGTTTGACTGCAAACGAAACTATAAATTTGATGTTCAAAAACTTCATTAACGAGAAGGATATCAAGAAGGCCAAGAAGGTCTACAAATGACGCCTGCTTGCAAAACATGAGCAAAAAAGTCTAGTGTGTGGTTTCTACCCTGCAAAGGACAAATAGGAAAGATATCCGAAATTCATAAATAACCATCGTACGACATATTTATTCTGAAACAGAAGAAAACTTGGAAGGACATCTAAATCTATGCAATGAAGCCATGTTGGCAACAGGATGAAAATTCCTAATGTAGAAATTCATACAAAGTTAGTTCTCTTTCCTGCTTATCGAGAGTTAAAGCTAGCAGACACCTTAAAGTTACTTATGTATTCTTTATATTTAGTTGAAGTATTTAAGGTATCATCTGCTAAAAATTATAGCAGAGTGCAAGAAATACAAGTGTCATGGTACTCGGTTTTTGAAATATAGTTTGAGCTGTTTGTTTACATATTAATACACTGTACTAAAAATGATTCTGCTGTTATTGGCTGAGGCGCCCTTAACCTAACTCGCACAAACTTAACGAGCGGCATTGTTGCAAAACAAAACAGAAATTTTACATGACGTTTAAATGATCAAAGGGGGCTACGAAATACAGTTTGACAATGTTTCCTTTAGATATGAATGAAGTACATAAAGTAAAAGACAAAACGTTTGTGAGACTACTACGCCTTTGAGAGAGGCTAATAAAAGTAGCAAATCGAACTGATAGATGAATCGGCGACTGACTAGTCAGAATTTAGACAGAAATAGACTCACTTTGACAGTCAAAAAAGTTAAATAAAATTGGAAAGTGAGTGATGAAATAGGCAGCGATAAAATAGGAAAGCAAGTTTATCAACAAAGCAGTTCAACTGTCGATAGCAACAACTTATCCTGCCTCAACAGCTGAAGTTGACTATTGACAGGTAGACAAATGAATGAAATTGGCATAAGAAGACATTATTGCCTGTGTGTTTACATTAAGTAAGTAATAACCATTTGAACATATTGCATTTAGCATTGAATGTTTACAAAATTTTAAAACCGAAGTAACAATTACAGAAGTCTTACCAGCTGGAGGAAGACAGCTCAAAGATCCTTTGGCAGTCATTATTTTATATAAAAGAAAGAAATGCCGGCATCAGCATTAAGATTACAAATTGAGGAAATGTCTGAATACATTGTACATACGAGTACTGGCAAGGTGCAAAAACCTATTTGGAGTAAGATGACCTGCCATCAGGTCATGTGAGATGTTAATGATGTAGACATCATTATTAATGGCAGATGCCCTACGTGGCCTACCAGGATTGATGTGTCCGTGAAGACTCACCAAATCCAAATAGCTGTTGGTTTCCATGGATCGGATGGCTTCTGCAAAATAAATCAAGTTGGTAAGAAAGATAGTCAAACCAAATAGACAGTGGAATTTTTGAAGTAAGATGTATTAGTCGCAGGAAACCAGAACCAGAACCAGTACCAGCAAAAATGCACACAGATCTGCTTTACAGCAAGTAATTTGAAAAATTCGTGGTGATAATTGTAGACGACATGGTTCAAATGGGATGACAGCATTTTCTCAACTGGTTTTGGTCCAGATTTCCTAACCAGGATCCCGGTAAAGCTAAAATGCAGAAGCATGCAAGGAGGAAGGAAACAAATCAGTATGCTTTAAGATGGGACTTCCATTTCCTTGTTCCCTGCATTCTTCTGCATTTCAGCTGAAATGCTTTATTCTTACCCAAGAACAATGACACATTTGGGTGGTGAACTTGTGTTCTCAACCTCAGCATTCTGTTTGCAGACTCAGAGACATTATTTGTGCGGTGCTCTGCTAAGAATACCGACAACATTTGGAAACGAAAACCTGCCAGCCAAGTTTCATGAACCTTCAGGAAGAACTGATGAAGGAGCGCATAAATGCCAAGATCGGTAGCCTCATATGCTAGGCTCATGAATCCTTCTTCGATCATGTGGTTGGGGAGCAAAGGTAGAGCTAGGAGGCTCCTGACAATTGAGTGAGCCCTATCATTGTAGCCTAGAAAATTTGTGAGGCCCATAGTCCGGCTGAGAATGGTGACAGCCTGAAATCAACAGGTGAGGTTTATTCTAAGTAAAACAATCCTATATGTTTTGGGAATTTGTTGACTAACATATGCTCTGAAGCTATTCAGCACTAATAAATTGATTGTTTTACAGGTTTTACACCTCAGCATCGCATCAGAAATAATGAAGAATATTTGGACCACTTACTCTGGAGAAATGCCAATAGCACCCTTGAACAATCACATCGTAGACCTCAACCCATGCCTGCATCTGTGAGCATTCAAAGTCTGTGACCACAATACGAGGACGGAACGTAGGTGCCGCTTCTCTGATGGCCTCCAACACTGCTACATATGCAATGCGAGTCCTTGTCTGCATAAGGACCTGGCAAAGCGGTACAACCTATACAAGACAAGTAAGAAATAAAAGCAACATTTGTTGAGAAAAAATTACATTCTTTTTCACAGTCAGCTTTTTGATATTGAATGTGACTTACATGGTTTCTGATTGCAATGCTTATCTGGAAGACCTGCCTGGACCTGGGGCGACAAGGCCTGCTGGCAAAAGTGCCGTCAGAGAAAGCAATTTCAATAACGAAGTTCTCTCTTCCTATCATTGCCGCAACCCGCTGAGACATGAAGATGATGCTCCTGTGCCCTTCAGGTCCAACCGCTGCCATGAATACACTATCTGCCCCATCCATCGTGGCTGTGATGTGTGGGTTCTCAGTCATGAGAGCGGCCAGCTCATCGATAGACTGTGGGACTCGTGGCAGGTGAAGCGGGTCAGCAGCTCTCCTTATTGCTGCCCTCATTCTGTTGTAAGTGACCCTCGCTGCCACATGAGGAGGATACCTGAACATAGAGTTAGGGCGATTACTTCAGCATGTTTTGTTTTTTTCCCCCATGTAGGAATGATAAGTACATCCTTCTAAAGGAGAACTCAAGAAAAGGAAAAGATGCAGTGCTCAGAGGATTGAAGCCTTTTTGAGGACGGTGGGAAAACACACTTTCAGCCATGGTCACATTGCAGAGCAAGATTTTTGCAAGGGTAGGTACAAAACCTTTGAAAAATGCCTTAAATTTGGAAACATTATCAAAATTTTAAAAAAGAGGTCAGAGGAATATGAAACCAATATTAGTCCGTACAGTTGTGGGTTGGTATCTTCTGATCAGAAACAAAAAGAAAACAGAAGCATTTCTGTGGGGGGGTTGCACATTTAAAGTAACTAGACTGAACAATGTTTACGTTTGGCGACATTGATCTCAAATATAATTATGATTAAGTTTTAGGTTTGATAGTTCTTGTTAAGGGGAGGCTACACTGAAATGGCTATCTCCATGAATAAAAATGAAATAAAATGGGGGATGTTATCTTTTTGCTCAATATGTCATGAAACTGCCAAAAAACTTTGTATGGGGTCTGTAAGTCAAACCATTGAATTGCTAATATTTTATTTTCATTTTTACAGAGAATTATTAAAACTGATCTCTGTGCATTCAATTTAGCCGTAGAGTTTTGTGGTAAAGTTCTCTGGAATCAGAATGGACCAAGGTACAATTTGGCTTGATCAGATCTTTAAAATTGTATTTGGTTTAGTATTTGACATTTTGGATCAATGTTAAATTATTCAATGTTCAAAATTAGTCAAAATTATGGCTTTTATAATTTTTTTAAGGTGGAACATGAAAGAAGTATACAAATCTGTTCAAGCCAATTTGTAGAGGGTCATATAAATCATGTTTCCCAACAACATTTGTCTCCGTAACTAAAAATTTAATGCGCAGGGAATTTTTTGAGCCTTTAAAAATAAAGTACCAATAAAGAGTGTTTACTACTAAGAAAAGTTATGTTTAAGAGGATATAATTTTTGACTTGAGGACCTCAAACGGTCTTTTGTTATTTGTTTAATTAAAAGACATATCTATGCAATATAACTAATAAATGAAAATTAAACGAAATCGCCATTGCATTGTTATTCAACCTCCCTCTGGGTGTTGCACACATCGCAGGAACCCAGTTAGAAGTGCGTTCAGCTTACCTTGCACGTATCCTTGTCATGACGAACACTGGTTGCTGGAAGTTGTGTCTGTTGACACGGACGTCATCCAGTATATCATGGCGCAATTGCCGCTCTCTGGCCAACAGCGGGTCGCGTTGACACTGATGAGGAGTCTGCCCGGTTCGAAAGGCTTCTTCCCCGACCAAGCGTGCTGAGGCTTTCCCGGTGCACTCTTGACGTGTGCGGTTATATATGCAGCGAAAGTAGAGGCTTTGCGTGCCATCGGGGTGCGCCCGGTTTCGGTTGAGATGGTAGTAAAAACCATCATTAAAGTGATAGTACGTTGAGCCCCGACGCTCTCCCCTCTCAATGCGGAGAAGTGCGGCCATGGGGAAGTAGACTACAAATTTGAACCGAGAGAACGTTGGTAGGTCCTCGACCTGCCAGTGCAGTAATGAG